CGCGGGGAGGGCTGCGCGGCGCGGCGCGGCGCGGCGTGGACGCGCCAAAGTCGGCGAAGTTTGCCGGAACATGGCGGAAGAGCCCGGGACGCGGAGGCGCCCCGAGCCGGAGCTGCTGTAGCCGCGGCCGCCGCGGGGCGAGGTCGTCGTCATGGCCCGCTGGATCCCGACCAAGAGGCAGAAGTACGGGGTTGGTGAGTGCTCGCCCCGCCCCACCCGGCCCAGCCGCGGCCAAGTTCGCCCAGGACCGGCGCTGCAGCCCGGGGAGCCCAGCCCGGCCCCGGAGCACAGTGGGGAGACGCGCTCGGCGCCGGGGAGCCCCGGTGGCTAAACGCCTGCTGGGTTTGGGGGACTCTGGTCCCCCCCCCCCAGTTCAAACCCGGCCCTCCGGGAGAGGGAATGCGCCTACTGCGTCTCGCTCCCCGCGCGGGCTCCGGTGGCCAGCCAGGCAGCACGTGGGATGGGGCGCCAGGCGCCGGCCCCCTGCCCGGGTCCTCCTCCGAAGCTCCAAAAGCTGAGGATTCGGGGGTGCTAAACGTCCCTCCTCTTCCCTCCCGGGGACTGTAGTCCCGGTGGCTAACCTGGGAAGCCCAGGCTGCGGGTGGAGGGGATGGATGCGGCAGGAGGCTTGTGGCGTGGGGAGAACTGCAGAGGGTCCTCCAGCCGCCCAGCGTGGATGGAGAGGTGTGGCACAGCCTTCCCAGCCCTCTGCCTCCGCATGGGGGAAGGTGGGGACAGTTCCTTAAGGAGGGAGGCGGAAGGTCCGGTGCTGGCGCGTGGCTTTCGTGATCGCGGGACCCCAGGGTCCCACGGTTCCGGAGCTTTCTGCCTGTCTGGTTGGTTTGGATCCCCGAAACCTTGGCGGATTTGGACCCAGGTGAAAAACCACTTTTCACTTTCACTTTTAATCAAAGAGCAAACGTGGTAGAGGTCAGGTGACAAGCTGTTGCCGTCTGAGGGGTGACCGCGGTGGCAATTAGACTTTAAAGAGAGTCTCTGGGTTAAACAGTGTGGTGCGTTGGGAATTTTATCACTTTCTCCCTGGTTCATTCACTTGGCCTGTTTGAAATTTAATCTTTTACTCCACTCCCTTCGGCACGCCTCTTTTTCCGCTTCTTTCCTCACCTCCTGGGCGTGCTGGAGCAGAGCCTGAAGGTATTAGTGTGTTGAGACAGCTAAACAGACAAAGTCCTCCATACCTCAGTAACCGTGCCTCAGGCTCCCCTCCCGTTTCTTCTTCAGTATATTAGTTTAATACAGGTTGAGAACCTGAGTATGTATCTATGTATACAAAAAAATCCTCGTTTTCTCTATTCCCAAAACTTAAAAAAAATTGCCTTTAAATTACTTTCAGAATTTTTCTCCTTCACATGACTGCAGGTCATAAACATAGCCGATATTTCTTCAGCCCCAGATCCCCAGGTCTTGATTTAGCCCCCAGGCTTCTGATAGGACTGCTGGCCTGGTGCTGGCTAGACTACTAAGTAGTCAGTAGTTGTGTAAATGAAGTGCTGTAAAAATAGATGAAGGGCTGGGTGTGGCAGTGGGAGCATGCCCAAAGCCCTGGGTTCCATCTTCAGAAACAAAAAGGAAAGAATTCAATTTATTTGGTATATTATAGAGCACTAATTAGGAATGAAAGCATATTTAGTAGTGCCTAATTATTAATTGCAAAAAGTCATTCATTCTGGTTTTAACTAGGTTAAAAGTTGTTTCTAAAAGTGACTTCAGTATAAATAACATTTCCAACAAGGTACTGTCTATTGCCACAGTCATAGAGTAAGAATGTTCTCTCTTTAGACTTTTTCTCATGTTCTAGAGTCAGGTTTTTTTCTTTTTTTGATTGCTGTTATTTATCATCAGTGATGAAAAGTCTTCGGATAGCATTTCTAGGACAGAGGTGTTTGTAGAATTGCCCCAGGATGCAATCTGAGACGCTTCACTTACTAGACACAGTAGACTCAGGTGTGGATGTTGATGTACAACACAAGCACAGATGAATCTCCGTGGTTCACCAAGGGGGTGTTTGAGCACTCTTGTGTCTGGACATCCTCTCTGGCTGCAGGAGAATGTTGAAAGCAGCCTAGCTTTCAGAGTTCCCATAATGCAGTTCTATCTCTTTACCAGCATCCTCTTACTGCTAGTTCTCTGAGCTCTCCAGTGTAGACAGTCTGCCCATATCTCTGGTTCAGCATTCCATCTGAGGCAGGTCCTGGGGGATGTTGCTCTCTTGAGTTTATCCCTGTCTACAGAACCCCACCCTAACACTGCACCCCACAGTCTAGCCTTCCCTCAGGGCTCAAATCTGCTCCCAATTGCTTCCTTCAGCTGTGCCCTTTGCCAGCTCTTTCCAAACCCCTACAGCCCTTTGTCATAATCCCTGCTTTGTGCCCTTCCTTGTTTGTCGCTTAGCCCCTGGCCCTTAACAGAAGGCATTGTGGAAGGCTAGCCTCTGAGCACAACAGCCATCATCTTCTAGAACCGCTATGACTTCTTGCAAGAGACCCCTGAGCTTGGGCTTGTTAACTGCTGCTGTTACCCAGAGAGATGAGGCCCATCATTGGACCCTCACCTGAGATTCCAGCCCCTCTTCCTCTGGTCAGTTGTATGTAATTCTGCCCTAATCGCCTCTGGCTTCATGTTCTTCACAGGTGCTAAAGCGTGTAGAGGGTGGAAGATTACTTCAAGGGGGGACTTCCTCTATGTACCTCTGGGGAAATCATCGTCCTTGCTTCAGTGAGACTTTCTGGTGATGAGGCTGTTTTGGGGTCACTAAGCTTCTCTAACCCCTTACCCATTTTCTGTAAGTCAGTCCAATAATCTCCTTGGTTCCCCAAGTTGGACTTTGATGGACTCACACTTCGGTTTGTTGTCGGTGCCCTAGAAGGAAGGGTAGATATTTGTGTCTCCCAAGGGAAGAGTTCTGGCAATGGAAGGTTATGGTTATATATCTCTGTCACACAGAGGTATTGCCAGGGGTAGACAGTGGTCAGCCCTCTTTGCTCATTTTTTTCAGTTACACTAACCCATAGTCAACTGAGGCCCAAAATTATGAAATGGAAAATTCCAGAGAGATAGAGATATGTAGATAGATAGACTACATTCACACAACCTTTGTTGTGGTATATTGTTATCTATTTTATTACTAGTTATTGTTAATTTCTTACTGTGCCTAATTTATAAACTATCATAAGCGTGTATACAAAAGGGAAAACATAGTATGTACAGGGTTTTGGAATCTACTGGGGTCTTGGAATATGTCTACTGTGGACCAGGGGGTCTACTCTGTGACAGTCAGCACTATATACCCTTGATGCTGGGGTGCTACGCTAAAGCAGGCTAACCTAATTTCTGTGGAGATTGAATGCAGTTTTCTTTCGGTTAAACGTCAGCAACTCATTTGTCCCAATATGAGTTCCATTTTGTTGGTTAGATGGAGGAAGTAGGAGCCTCCACTGCATCCTTAGCTCCGCTAGTGAAAACCTGAAGGTATTCTGCTGAGCAGACCAGGAAGCAGGGCATAGACAGATTCGACTGAATGTAATTGGGCTGGACTGTTGTCACTGCAGGGACGCAGTCACTGCTGAGGGCTTGCTGGGCAGATGTAGTTTTGATGAAGGAAGCAATAGGGTGGTCATCTTGAATCTTGTGAGGATGCGCAGCTGGCCCCCACCAGGGCTGTGTGCTGTAGAAGGAGGCTGTTGCTGTGAGAGTGGTACTGTGGTCCCCACTTGAATTGTGCCTGGCAAAGGTAACAGTCCCCATTGTCCCCTTTTCTTTTTGGTTTCCCTCTTGGCTGTTCCTAACTGCCTGGATTTTTCTACAGGGGCTGGAAATGTTTGGAAGTTCTTGGCTCTTGAACATAATGGTACTGTTGACTCAATCTCTAGTATGGTCTGTGTGTACACCTGTGTTGTCCAGTGCAAGGACTGATAGGCTGGATTCTTTAGAGTAAGCTCTTTAGCAGTCAACATTAGTACTTCAGTTATGAGGTACTCAGAGCTCAGTGCTAAGTGCTTGGGAATAAGTATTCTTTTCCGAAGCCAAGCAATTTCCTCTTTCCTTGCCTTTTTTTTCTGTTTATTTGCAGTCCTGGTGACTGATTGTAGGGCTTTGTGAGTGCTAGGCAAGTGCTCTATCACTGTACTATATCCTCAGGCCTCCTGCTAAGTTTCATTTTGAATGTTGCTAAGCGTTCTAGACTGGCCTTGTACTTCCTCCGTAGCAGGCCGTACACTTGCAGGCCTCTTGCCCCAGCCTCCTGAGTAAGTGGGATGACAGACCTCTACCACCAGACCTTGACATTTTTTGCTGTTTAATTAGGTGAAGGTGTAAAATACTTCTATTTGAGTTTAAACAGATGCCAGTCATAAGTAGGTATGTTGCTCTTTGAATTTTAAAGCTTGTCTTCTTTTTCTGCTTCCTTCCTTCCTTCCTTCCTTCCTTCCTTCCTTCCTTCCTTCCTTCCTTCCTTCCTTCTTTCCTTCTTTCCTTCTGTCCTGCCTGCCTGAAGCCTGGGCTGGCCTGGGTCTCCCGATTTTCCTGCCTCAGCCTCTAGAGTGCTGGAATTTCAAGCATGTACCATCATGCTGAACTCAAGTATATTTTAAAGTATGCTTTTACACAAGCCATTTGTATCTAGAACAAAGATTAAGGGCTGGAGAAATGCCTCAGTGATTAAGAGTGCGTACGGCTCTTGGAGAGGACCCCAGTGTAGTTGCCAGTACCTACATCTGGTGATTCACACCCACTTGTAACTCCAGCTCCAGGGGATCTGACACCCTCTTCTGGCCTTCACAGGCATTGCATTCACATACACAAACCCATACGTAGACACATAATTAAAATAAAGTTAAAAAAAAGAACACATTATATTCTTCGTGTCCTGTTTACAAAGCTAATGAGTGTTGGGATTTTCAGTATTTATAGTTATAGTATGATAGGAAATATTTGGGGAAATACTTCCACAGTTCTCTTCCACCGTTTAGCAGTGCTTGCTCTAGTTAGTCTAAAGCATCTGACTTTGGAGAGCAAATCTTCATGTGTTGATTCAAGACCCGCTCCAGACTCTGTGGGTCTTTACTAATGCATTCAGCCTGTGGCACTACTCCTCGGATTCCTCCTCACTGTGGGCACCATCTTCCTCTTGCAGGAGTGGGACAGCAGGGAGGAGATCTTACAAGGACTGGTCCAG